AGGCTTTCATAAAACTCAGTAGCTCGTACCCAGAGGTGGCATCAATGAGCTGGTCGATCCTTGGCAAGGGAAAATTGTCCTTCAGATAGGCTTTGTTAAGGTCGGTGAAGTCGACACAAGTTCGCTACTTGTCATTGGGCTTCTTTACCAAGACCGGATTGACAACCCAGTTAGGGTAAAGCTCTTCTCGAATGGACCCGTTCAAAAAGAGCTTATCTACCTCAGTTTTCAAGGCAGCATAGCAATCAAGGTCCATGGCTCTTTTCTTCTAGCGAACCGGCTTGATTGCACTATCAATGTTGAGTGCATGACATATGACATTCAGGCTGATCCCGATCATGTCAGCATGAGTCAATGCAAAAACATCAACATTCTCTCTCAAGAAGCTTGTCAAGCTTTTGGCGAGCTAGGGGTTGAGATTACTCCCAATTTTCAATAATCGGGTCAACTAATTTTGATCGACTGACACTTTAGATAGGTCTTCAACTGGCCCACTGTGAGGGCACTCTTGGATGCGAGGATCTATGTTGTCCTCTACTGGGTCAGGCTGTGGCTCGATTCTGCTGATCGCCATAACCTACTCGGGGATGCCTATTGGCCTTCCCTTTCCCTTGCACGCCATTTGCACTACTCTTATGTAGCAGTCGCGAAGTTCGCATTGAGATCCTTTTACTTGTCCAATCCCCGTCATGGTGGGAAACTTCATTTTCAGATGGTAGATGGAGGTGACAGCCTTGAAATTTTGTAGTAAAGGTCGTCCCAAAATTCCATTGAAGGTGGACTAATAATCTACCACCAAAAACTTCGTCATTTTGGTCATTTCGTTGGTTTCACCCAACGTGATCAGAAGTGAGATCGTTCCCTTAGGAATCAGATGATCCTCAGTAAAACAATAGATAGGGATGGAGGTAGGCTTCAGGTCTACCTCGTCTAATTACATTTTTTCGAAAGCTCGCTGAAACAGGATATTCACAATGCTTCCATTGTCCACCAACATTCTGTGAACTTCGCATTGACCTATTTTAGGCGCGATGACGAGTGCATCCTCATGGGGATGATGCAGTTGTACCGCGTCTTTCTTAGAGAAGATTTATATTTAACATACCTTTGATCTCCTCTTCCCTACGAACCTTAATGGGTTGCGGCGCACACTCACTGGGTCATGACGAGCTTCCCAAGCATACCTCTCCTAGGAAACTCGAGAGTTCCCTATCAGGTGTGATCCTCCAAAGATGATCCTTACACAATAGAGACCCTTGCAACCACGATGCTTCTTCCCTTGTTCCTCTTTATCCTTTTCTCGAATGAGAGTTCGACCATCAACATACTCTTTGAAGTGCCCCTGCTTGATGAGGTCTTTGATTGCTTGCTTGAGAGCCCGACACTCATCAGTGTGATGCCCATTATCCCGATGATAGCGGTAATACTTTTTGCTGTTTCTAGCTAAGGGGAGATTCTTCATGGGTTCTGGCTCTCCAAGCAGGCTGGCTTCCTCTAACTTATCTAGAATAGCCGACACTGAGGCATTCACTAAGTATACTGACTTTTGTCACCATCGCGACGAGGAACTAGGGCATGATATTTTTTTTGGTTCAAATTGCTACTTCTTTAATTTTCGTTGATCGTCATTAGCTCATTTGAGATCAGCCCTTCTACTATTCTCCCCCCGATCGGGAACGCTGGTCGAGGGATCGGGGTCGTGGCAATTAAGAGCGGCCACAAAATTTTTGATTCGAAGATATTTCTCAGTGAGGTTGTAGAAGCGAATAAGGGAAACATCGTCCTCTGATTGCAGTTCCTTCCATAAGTCAGTCTAAGGGCAAACCCTGCGATAATAAGAGTTCGAACGAACTCTTCGGGAGTGTGAGCCACTTTATGGAGTTCCCTGTGGTTCTTTCTATGTAAAACTAGAGGGATTCATTCCTCTCTTGCCGTGTCTTGCTTAGATAACTCAATGGCATCAAGAACTTCCTGTTCGAATGGAAGTGTCTCAGGAATGATGAGCTCATTTGTCGCCACGAGCTGACTGATCCCGCAAGAAGCGATCTGAACCATCGCTTGGCATGGGCAGTTAGAGTTACTGCTAAGTAGTGATATTTGGCCATGTCGGAGACTTGGTGGAGTTTCATGAGGTTGTTGAGCTCGTAAAGGTGATCCTGCGGATCTGAATTCTCATCGAATGCCCGCATGTCGGGCATTCTAAATCTCGATGGGAGAGGAGCAGCTAAAACTGCTGGAGAAAAGAGAGATGTCTCTGCGACCTTACCATGCTCATTCTGCTGAACCTTAAGCTGATCCAAAACTCGTTGTAGTTCCTCAATCTGAGGTAGCGAAGCTGTTTGGGGATCACTTTCCGCAACGTGGGTTCGACCCTCACGGTTGCGGTTGAGGAAAGACCGCAAATCGGGCTCTTCCTTAACTCAGCCAGAAGCTCCGGCGAACCTTGACGCACGCTAACTAGGGCCATGTGAAGGCATTGAATGGCTCGGGGAATTTTCTCGATCTCTGTGGTGGTCAGAACTGACCGACAGACGATGATGATTTCCTGCATAATGACAGTCGAGATCATCATTTCGGTGATATTAGGAATCTCCCTACCTTGCACTTTTGTGGGAGTGCCCATGCGACGTGGCGTGGGACAACTCATGCTACGACATGTCGCCGAGTCGCAATGCCACGGGTATTCTACCCGTTGCATGACCGGTGTTTAGTGGTCCCTCAGAGCCTTTCGATCCACTACTCGCCACTTGTTTTCCCTTACTTTTGCATGTTGTAGTGCGTGCAGTACGGGCTTTTGCCCTTTTTCACGCTTTCGATTGACCTGCAGGCGTCTTTGGCGGTGGCACTACTTTATTAGACTCTGGTGGTATGACGATCCAAACGGTCCAGCCTTTTGCTAACCGTTTTGAAAGTATTATTGAACCTCTACAAGTAACTCATCACGACTGGGTCGAGTTGTGAGCTTGAAGGAATATCCGCCATGATACTCTGTTGGACTGTCGGCACTTCGGGAGAAGTGTCATCCTGTACTCGGGGGATTTCCTCATTGTCAAGGTCGGTTCGCTCAGTTTCGAAACCGCGAGCTATTTGCTCATGGGTAGGACCGATCGGTCAGATGTTTCTGATGAACAACAGATATTAAATCAGGCCCTCCTTCTAGCGCCAAACTGTTGATACTTGATTTTGACACCAACGACTCACACGTGCAAAGTGCTAAGCGGGTTTAGAAATTACACGTGGTATGAAAATATGTAGTGAGAGAATAACTAAAAGGATGATTTTTAAAGTGGTTCGGATGCTCATAAGGAAATTCTACGTCCATTGTAGTTGTATTAATAGATGGTTACAGTCAGGTTATGCAGCGAGCTGAGTTACAATCTAGAGAGAATATAGAGAGAGAAAGAGAGAATGTATGTTGTTTAAGACTAAAGATAAGTCAATCCCGTAAATGAGAGAGGAGCCCTCTATTCATAGTTGGAGGATTCAAGGTAATAATCATGAGTCTACAGTCCGGCAGGTGTGGTACAATTCCTAACCCACTTCCCATTGGTTGTCTGCACGAGAGACATCCTTAAATCGCGTAGGGCTTGGGCAGGTGGACGATTCCTAACCACTCGCAAGCTTGACATTCACCTGCTGCATTGACGAGAACCATACCTCTTCTATCATTATGCGACGTGGCAAAGTCTAGACGACACAAAGTCTCCCTGAATTCTGATTGACCCTTGCTGACAAGAGTCCACGTCAGTCCTGACTTTTTAGGCATAACATAATTAAAGTATTAAATTATTTATTATGATTAAGGGATATTTTTATATAATAAAAGATGATGGCATATAATTAAAACATTTAAATATTAACTTTTTTAATTTTATATATGGCAATGGGGGAGTTGGGCTCCTCCGTCCCCCAAATTATTTAAGCGGGTTAGGGATGACTGATGAGGAATCCCTACATAAGGAGTGCATTCCCCAAACCCATTCAATTCTCCTATATATATATATATATATAGCATTATGATTACGTAAATCATTACTACAAAGTATTAATGTTTAAAATAAAATTAACCATAACAAGTAATAACCAAAACAATTAAGAATAAAACTAATCTGTAAAACAATTTTTAATGTGGCATAGTATTATTTATTTCTCAAAGTCTTCTGGATTTATCTTCCTTAAGAATCATTAAGACTTCATTCATTTAAAATGTGAAACAAAAAAAAAAAAAAAAAAAGTTACAATAATTGTATTTCTCCAATAAAAATATTTTATATTTAATTTCATAATGGGGAATGGAGATCCCTTTCAACATGAGGAATTAATTTCAATTTATCACAGTAATTGCATTTCTCCAATAAAAATTAGATTTGAAATTGCATTGTCCCTGCGGTTGGATTCAGCGTCACTTGAGAAAAAGCCATGGCGCCCAAGCCCAATAACCCTAAAGTTTGCTAAATGGACTCCACCCTTGCATGGCCCACTTACAATTTCACCCCAAAAGAGTTTGCATCCTTGATTAAGCTTTTATTTGATTAATATTACACTTATAGAGCTGACATCTCTAAGTGATGAAATTATTAAATGTAGCAACACCATATTAATAATAGAAATTTATGATGAATTTAATTTTTTTAAAATGAATATGACAATCGGTAATTGTAAATTTAACCTCTATAGTAAGTTTTTAGGGTACACTTGCTGTGTCACATTGGATTGAAGTAAATGTTTAGCGTGCAATATCAAACTAAATGCATAATTAATTATTTAAAAAATTAAAGAACTAAAAAAAAAAAAAACAAAAAAAAGAATTAAGTACAAATAAATCTTTTCAATAAAAATAAATTTAATATTTAAAAAATTCGAGATTTTATTAAAAAAATGTAACCCAGCCCACTTCCTGAACAAATAGTGGCGGCTAGGGATATTTTCGCTTCAAATAGCTGCCCCCTGCCCATCTCGCAAACCCGACGCCAACAGACACATCCCAGCTCCCAAGCCTCGCCGTCAGCAACCCTAACTCACTTCATTCACAAGCTTGGTAAGGGAGACTAACCTTTCATCTCAATTCTCAACATGTTTCAGTTGCTTTAATTTTTTTTTTTTTCCTTCTTTATCTTGTTTTTGGATGGCTTGGACTAAATGATATGGATGTGGGGTGTATTTATTGAATTACTTTGATGGTGTTGAGTTTGATTAGCTTCTGGGTGAGTTTTTTTGTTATCCCTATCTTATCAGCTTGTTTGAACTACAGTTTGACTTTGATAATGCATAGAAAATGTTTGTAAAAAGGCTTAATTGAGTGATGAAGTGAATTTGTTGCAACAAGAAAAAAGTCTTCCAGCTAAATATAAACTTGACTGCTCAACCTTTTAAAATTTTCAACTTCAATTAACTTCCCTTATTCCTTTTATCGGAAATACTGACGCGAATTGAGCTTTAACGAGTTCGAATATGACTTGTACTTATTTTTTCTCTTCTTCACTTTATACAGGTTAAGCTAAGTGCTTGTGTGCTTTTTTCATTGCCATTTCAAGCCGCGGTAATTTGAGAAACATACGTGTAACCACTAGAAAAAGGTACTTTGGATTTTCTCTTTTTCATTTGTTCATCAGTTCTTGTTTGATTGTTTTATACATTCTAACTGGGGTTGTCGATATTTGTTAGATAGGAAAACAGCAAAGAATACGCGCATTATGTGGAAGCTAATTGGAGATGGCGAATTCCAGAATGTGTCTCTTCCTGGCACTCTACCAGGCATAGAATTTTCAGCCCCCAAAGATTTTCAGTTTTTTCAGTCTTCAGAATCTGCTTTTAATCAGATTATTGAAGCGTTGAAAAATGACGAAACTCGTATAATTGGATTGTATGGAATGGGTGGAGTTGGCAAGACAACATTGGCTAAAGCGGTGGGAAATAAACTCAGCAAAGAGATTTTTGATGAAGTGGTAATGGTTTTTACATCTCAAACTCCAGACTTCAGAAAAATTCATGATGAACTTGCAGACTTGTCGGATTTGAAATTCAAGGAAGAAAGTGAAGTGGGAAGAGTAAAGCAGTTATACTTGAGATTTACGAGGACCGATCAGAAGACCATCGTAATCATGGACGATGTTTGGATAGTGTTTGATTTGAAAGAAGAAATAGGAATACCCTTTGGTTATGATCATAAGGGTTGCAAAATTCGTCAGCTGATGATTCAACTAAATGTTTGGTATGGAAGGGAAGGACTGACTTTACTCAAGAAACATGCAAGTATAAGTGATGACCACGCTGCATTGAATGATGTGGCTGTTGAAGTATTGGACATGCTATGAAGGAAAAAAAAAATTAATGATTGGGAAGTCATGTCTCGAAAACTAAAGGAGTCAAAACTTGAGAATATACCTGATGTTGCTGGAGAAAAAGGTGTATACTTGTCTTAAATTGAGTTATGATTATTTGAAGGATGAGAAAACCAAGTTACGTTTCTTGTTGTGTTCACTGTTTCCCGAAGATTATATAATTAGTTTGGAGCAATTGATTACATATGGAGTGGGGCTGGATTTTTATCAAGATGCTGACAGAATTGAAGATGCAAGGAATGAATTGCTTTCAACACTTAATTTTCTCAAAGCTTCATGCTTGTTGTTAGATTCTAGTGGAGAAGAATTTGTGAAAATGCATGACAAAACCGAGTTATGTTTCTTGTTGTGTTCACTGTTTCCCGAAGATTATATAATTAGTTTGGAGCTTCATGGTTGTTGTTAGGTTTTGGTGGAGAAGAATTTGTGAAAATGCATGACAAAATTGAGTTATGTTTTTTGTTGTGTTCACTGTTTTCCGAAGATTGTATAATTAGTTTAGAGCTTCATGCTTGTTGTTAGGTTCTGGTGGAGAAGAATTTGTGAAAATGCATGACAAAATTGAGTTATGTTTTTTGTTGTGTTCACTGTTTTCCGAAGATTATATAATTAGTTTGGAGCAATTGATTACATATGGAGTGGGGCTGGATTTTTATCAAGATGCTGAGAGAATTGAATATGCAAGCAATGAATTGCTTTCAACACTTAATTTTCTCAAAGCTTCATGCTTTTTGTTAGATTCTGGTGGAGAAGAATTTGTGAAAATGCATGACATGGTTTGTCATGTTGTCTTGTGGGTAGGATCCAAAGGGAATAATGTATTCATGAGTTTGCCAACAAACTAGGTGATATAAACTACCTAAACGAGTTTGAAAGGGAATAAGCTTAGAAGATTATTTTTGATATTAAATAGGATTTAGAGAGTTTTTTTTTTTTTTTTAATTATAGAAGAAATATACTTAGCCACTGTGAAGACTGAAGACCAATTAGATGGGGGTTAAAACACTTCGCAAAAGGATGGGGGGATAAATGATATTTCCGAATCCTAATTGGCTAGGCCCATTTCGAAGCCCAAGTTAAATCTTAAGTGGACTGGCCCACTCCAAAGCCCAATGATTTTTTTTTTCCTTAAATAAACTCTATCAATCAATCTATATCTTACGTGTTTTAGCATAACTCCTCAACGTGAATGATAATTGCACGACCATATTGCTATCAATAGATATGCGATTGACCCTGAAAATATTATTATTTTATTTTTTTTAAACATTATAAATAGAAGTGGATGTGATCCGAGTCTGGCATGGGACTGGCAGAGTGGTCAAAATATCAAATGAGGAAGGTTTGGAACATTATACAGCAATCTCCTCGTTTGCCAACAAACTAGTGGATCTTGTTACTAGGTGATATAAACTACCTGAACGAGTTTGAAAGTTTCAAATTAATTTTTTAATAGAGATTAAGGCTTCAAAAGTTGTTTCCATAAGTTATGATTTTTGATGTATTTTACTATAAATTGGTATGATTTTTGATGTATTTTATTATTATATCTTCAACTCATTGCACCAAATATTACACCAAAAAAAAATATTCTTTCGAATATTCTCTTTATTTTTCTTTCTTTTAATAATCAATAATTATTATATTTCACTAATTATTTTTATATATATTAATTAAATATTATGAATGATATTTTTATTAAATAATAATCACTTTGAAAATTATACTAATTTAATAAAATTAAGCATTTATTTAATCAAATAAACATTACATTTAATATAGAAAAACATTACATCTAATATAAAATGCTACCAAAAAAAAAAGATAACAACAACACAAAAGTAAAATTTCATATCGATAGTAATTTAATTTTTCGGATTTGAATTTCATAACCGATCCAAGCCTGTGTGAGTTTTTCCAAAATGAGCAATCAAGAATTATGCAAAAAAGAGTTCAACAACAAGGTCAAACATCTCACAATAACTCTAGTTCTTTCCAATATTTTGATGATTTTAGAGGATCTCAAACCAATCTACCAGAATATTAAATTGTTATTTTAGTTTATGTTGTATTTTCTTTTAATTTTAGTGTTTTTAAATAAGTGTTAATTTTTATTTTGAATTATTGTAGTTTAATATTTGCATTGAATAAATTTTTGTTTTTAATTTTTCATAATTTTTTGAATTATATAATTATTATGAATTTATTATTATAAATATTAATATTAATATAAATAATAATTAAATTAACATAAATGCAAATAATAAAAATAAAATATATTTTATATTTTATAGTTTTTAAACAGTACCACACCAAATTGGTGTAAGTGAACAATGTCACACCAAATTTGGCGTGATACTGTTCACTTATACCAAATTGGTGTAGTGTTTGGCGTTGGATTGGAACACACTTTTTACACCATTTTAGTGTTTTGTCTTTGGGTTGGTGATGCCCTAAAGGACCTATCACTAAAATCACTGCAATTCCAAGCAAATCTCAAGACCCTAGAGCTGATTGGCTGTATTCATTTCAAAGACATATCTTTCCTCGTAAGCAGTAGCGGATCCAGAAATTTCTTTTAGGGTGGGCCAAAATATATAAATTATACATATTAATATTAAAAAAAAAAATTGAGAGTGGGCCATGGCCCACCCAAAAAGTGGCTGGATCCGCCACTACTCGCAAGGCTAACTAAACTTGAGAATCTTTGTTTAAGAGATTCCTTTTTTGATGAATTGCCAAAAGAACTTGGGGAACTTTGTAAATTAAGATTGTTGGATTTGTGTGGTTGTGATGCGTTAAAAATAATACCTTCCAATGTGATACAAAGATAGTCTCAACTAGAAGAACTATACATTGGTGACAGCTTTAAACAATATTGGGAATTTAAAGAAGTGAGTGAAAATGGAAGTAATGCTAGCTTTTTCGAGTTGAATTCACATTCTCGGTTGACCATACTATCTGTGGAAATGGAAGCTGAATGCCTTCTAGCAGACTGTCCTCTCTCGAAATTGGTAAAGTATGACGTGTGTGAGCCCTTAAAATCATATTATGAACCATTTTCAAACAGTAATCGAACGAACAACGAACGTTATCAAACTGTTCGGTTCATTTGCAGCCCTAATCCCAACCATTGATCAAGAGGGCTTCATAAAGTTGAGATCCCTTCAGCTTGAAGACTGATGATTTGAAATGTGTAATAGATATGTCACAAAAACATGTTCCAGTCAACGCATTGTCTACCTTGACATATCTCTTCACAATGTCACTTGCTCGGAGTTTGGTGCAACTAAAATCACTCAGTACATTCTTGTGATAGTTTGCAGCAGCTGGTGGTCATGGAAGAGGGTGACAGTGACAAGGGAGAAGAAACATTATCAAATTCCCTCATCTTCTCAAAATTAGAATCTCTTTCTGTAGATAGCTGCAAGAGATTGGAATATATTTTCCCAATCTTTATTGCAAGAGGTCTTTTGTACAACTTGAAGCACTTGCAATAAGCAATGCTGCTCAGTAGCATGTCTTCTATTCAGATCATCGAAGAGGAGAAAACATAGTTGCAAGAGATTGTCCTCCCTAATATAAAACCCTTGAGAAACTAGCCAATTTCATCAGCCTCTGTCCAGAGAATTACCATTCTCTTTGAAAAAGATCACAACAAAGCAATAAATCCAATTTGGCTGCTTCTTTCATGGTTGAAGTTGTAGCCAAAGATCATGACCGAAAAGAGGTATATTTTCAACAAAAATTACATTCAATTTGAAAGATTATTAACCATTAGGGATGACTCGATGAAGGCAGACCTCTGTGTTAATTATTTTTATTCACCCTTCTTTAATTGAATTGAAAAGCTTGTTAATATTGTTTTACGGTTGATTGGAGTGACAAATTGAATTCCTTTACATAAATGTCTCTAGTAAGTGAATATTCTCACCTTCAATTCTAATTTTACATGTTCAAAATTTTCTTTTATGAAAGTTAAAGTTGTTGATATGTTGCCGGACATTCATTTATTTATGGAAAATGATAGAGTTACATAAAATTACATACCGAATCCATACACCGAATGACGTGACAAAATATTGATTGTTGATTAATATTAACTTATAATGAATCAATGGTTAGGATTGTGTCACGTCATTCAATGCACATCCTTCGATAACTTACTCTTTATTTATTATACAATAGATTTTTTAAGAATTCCCTTTTAACAGTACTCTCAAAACCTTATTTATTAAGTTTTATATAATATATATACTTATAATTTAATTATATAAGAACCAAAATTATAAAAGGAAATAGCAAAAAATAAGGTTATAATTGGTAACATAATACAGGTTTTAAGATAATTATCATTAAATAAAACTGCAAATGTAATACAATCTTGATAATAGCCTTAATTGATTAACCTTAATTCAGAGGTTGATAATAAGTGTAAAATAAAAGGCCTGAATCTTGTTTTATATTATATTAAATAATAAAATTTTTGGATAAAACCAAGAGGTTGTCGGCGAAAAAAAAAAAAATTACCAGAAAGATGGATAATTTATAATTAACGAGAGAAGATTTTTTTTTTTTTAACATTTTTATCATTAATGAGGTAAGATTATATATTTTACCATTAAGGAGGTGAAAAAGCTGTTTCACAGATCTTACTTTAAAACTTGGCAGATCTTCTGAAACAGCCTTTTCGTACATAAGGTTATTAAAATGACAATGACATAAGGTGCATGTTAGCCACTGTACGGCCGCACAAAAATACCAAATGCGCATCTGATATGCATATAAAGTCAGGTATGTTCCAAAAGTCAAGTGAAATTTAATAATGACATTTAGGTCCTATCAGTATAAACTTTTTTATTTTATTTTTTTGTAAAACTCTGAAATACCATTTAATTTGTTAACCTTTTATTTTCTTATAATTAATGAAATTGTTCTAATTTTTTACTAAAATTGTCAACTACTAGCTCATTATCATTACACGTGGCAGGTCTTTGAAACTACACAGAAATTTTCATTAGTTTTTAGCCATAAATAGCAGAGTATTGGTACGGACATTGAAATTTTATATCAAATTTTTGTACCAAAAAATATGACAATCAGTGAGATGCGATTATGTTAGAGTCTTTCATGAATGAACAGTTATCCAATATTTATGGATGTTCACTTATATTTAATAGACTCTCGTTTATATTATATGAACGGTTGTTTATTTACTGTAGACTAGTGTCCATGTCTAAAAAATTTAAAAAAAAAATAATGGATGGGTGTCTATTTACTATACATGGGCGTCTATATAAGATGGATGCCCGTCCAAAAAATTTTAAAAAATTTTACATTCAATTGACAGACGTCTTTAATTTAAAAAAATTTACTTTCAGTTTTTGTCTCAATCCAAAAATAAATGTTTGCTATCTTCGTTCAATTTTTGTCAATATTCAAAATAATTGGGCAAGCTTCATTAAATTTTTGTCTATATTCAAAGTAATTGGACAAGTGTCATATTCTTAACTCAATTAGGATTCCCAATTAATGCATTAAATAAATTTAAAATTTGTTAATATTAAAAGATGGACGCCCGTCCTCTTATGAGGATGACTGTCCATAAATAATTTAGGTCAAATTTGTTTAGTTTAAACTATAAATGAACGTCCATTTTAGGTGGATTGTCGTCCATATACATTCACAGAATATTTATTAACGTGATACGTGGTTCGTTTGATTTAGTAAACACGTTGTTCGATGTAAAAATTCTATACAAAACGTGGGTGTTCGTAACATTTTTCTAAATAATAAAAGGAAAAGATTTTTAATTTATATCATATCATTGATCCGTAAATTCGGCCACATTAATGTTGAAGAACAATGTTCTGAAAACTAGACCGGATCGTTCGGTCGGACCGGTTCGACCGGCAACTGGCAGCAAATCCAGTCTGGTATATATAAAAAACCGTTATTTTGATTTAAACAGGATTAGACCGCGGTTGGACAGCCGGAATAGAGCCAAATCGCGGTCCAATCGCAGCTAAATCCTACTGGATTCCGGCGTCGTTCGAGGGCGAAAACACGACCATTAGACGGGATGACATCTCCACGACAAAATCCAGCAATTTTCAGTCGTCGTCGTCCAACCTTGGTCACTTGCCGTCCACCTAAAGTTTACGCGACCGTCGGATTTCTTTCGTTGATTCCGGCGAGTTACGGTGCCGATGGAACTCCCTAGCACCACCATCAGATTCACCGGCACCTGTAAATCAAAAGCCCCATGATTCCAAACCTCGATTGGCCGTCGATCGTCGCTGCCACCACCATCACCAGTCTCTTCGCGCGACAGACGTGTTTTGGACAGATTTCAAACCTTAAGGGAGTATTATATAGGGGTCTTTTTGATGAATTTCAAACCTTCAAAGACTAAAATTATTTTTTTGAATAAGGACCAACCAACCGATCAAACCAGTCAAATCGAAAACCGGACGCCTGAACGGTTCATAGTTTAGTCAGGGTTCATAACATTATTAAAGAAAATGGCGGATAAAAGGACTGCATTTGAAGTTGATGAACAATCACATCACCGTCCATTTTGATCCTTGAGCCGCTTTAAAAGGTCCAGTAAGATTTCATAATGACATTTAGGTCGTATCATTTATTCAGTATAAACTTTTTTATTTATTATTATTATTTTTTGTAAGAGTCTGAATTCTAAATACCCTTAATTTGTTAACTTTTTATTTTCTTATAATTAATGAAATTGTTCTAAATTTTTACTAGAATTTTCAGTTAGCAGCGAATTTTTTTTTTTTATAATTCTATAATTTTTAATTTCATTTATATAAAAAAATATTAAGGGTATTTCAGACTTTAAAAAAAATAGAAAACTTATAGGTTACAAAAACCTAAATGTTATTATCAGAATTCTACGGAGCCTTATGTACTTAGCATGCCAAAGACAAATCCTAACAAGTTTGCCTTAAACTTCATAATTACAAATTTACAACTAAAACAAACTTATTTATTTGAGATGTACATTGAGTTTAATTTGAGTTAATATGAGATAAAGTTGGAATTAATTTGGGATTAATATGAGATAAAGTTTGAATTAATTTGACGCCTTTGGATTGATTGGGGATTAATTGTGACTAATGAATTAATATTAGATTCCTATTATTTTTGGATTAGTTTAAAATTTATTTTCTTATTATGAATAATAAAGGGTAAAGGTGGTAGTTTTACGGACAAATTGTAGTTTGATGTCATTTGAACATGTCATTGGCCTTGAAAATTTAAATAAACAGATAACGGCAACTACCATACAATGCGCACAGGTAGCGCACATTAGCAATAGTGGGGTACACTGTACCATAGGTACATGTTAGCAAACCATCCTACTTGGCAAAAACAGCACGCTGCATGCATCTCATATTTCCATCGCCAGAAAGTGAAAGGTTATAGAGCGCTTCTATTCCAACTTCCTCTCTTTTTAACTTACTCTCAATTTCTCTCCTCTTTCAGTCTATAATTTCCTTTTTCTCTTTTGACCCTAACTTTCGTTCTTTTCCGGAGCTCCATTTAATTAGAGGCCGTGTTTCATCACTAAGACAGGTAAAATAGAAACTGTAATTTCTTTTTAGTGCATGAAAAAGCAGTGGTTTCTTGTTTATTTAATCGTTTTGTTGTTGTTTTTTCTTTTTCTTTTTTACAGATTGGATTTTTTTGTGTTCGTTGATTTTGGATAGTCTTTTTATAGATTGGATGTCTTTTGTGTTCGTCGATTTTGGATAGTCTTTACGACTTTACTTAACCAACAAAGAACTTGCTCATTTGATAATTTTTTATTTTATTTGAGTGAAAAAGGGGTAAAAAAGGAGGCTTGCCTGTTCATCATTTGTTTTGTTGTGTGTCTTTTTACTTTTATCGAAATTAGATGTTTTTAGTGTTCATTTATAGTGGATTTTGTTTACTGACTTGCGTAAATGTCAAGTTTTTTTGCTTAAGATCATATAATATATATTTATATTTCTTTTGAGTGAGAAAGAAAGGGTTTCCTGGGTCTATATTCACTGAAAAAGAAACCACTCTATGCACTCATTTTGCTGAGTACTTACATTATCAAAGTTTTAGAAATAATTTCTTGCATCACCTATTAACAATATTTTAAGTTTTCATGATATTTTCTATTCAGTTAAGCATTAATGTGTCTATTAACAGTTTAGGTTTTAAGATTTTAATAGAGGGTCCACTTAAACGATGGGTGTTGGGATAAATTTTTGGTCACAAATAACCTCTTCCTTTCTGAAAGGCTTGTATGTATTTGTGTATGGCTGTGGGTCTGTGTGCTTTAGGGTTTGTTCTGTGTATTGGACAAACATAGAGATAGAGCTGTGAAAGAGTTTATTTTTGTTTCATAGATTGCAATTTTTTTTCCCTATGGAACGACCAAGTGCATCCCAGAGGGTGAAAAAAAGAGCATTGGAGGAAGATGATGGTATTGTAGGGAGGAAATATAAATTTAAAATTCTACTACCAAACGGGGCTGGTGTAGAATTAATTCTATGGGACCCCATCCTCCGAATGCCCTTGCAAGACTTCGTTAAGTTGGTGAAAGGTGAATATTTTCGGGCTTGGCAAGAATCAGTGAGTCAGAAAAGAACAATAAATTGGAAAAATGAAGGGCTGTACCTTGAAGATGCCTACGAGAATAAGATAAGAAATATAATGGACTTTGGGAAGTTCAAGCCACATAGGTACCATATTTTACGGCTAAATGTGAGTATTCCTAGTTTAAGTGTTTACGCTGTTTGATTATAAGAGTTTTCATGCCAGGATTCAGTGATGCTTTAATTTGTTTATTTCTTCACCAGGATGGGTCCAGTGAGATTTCCAATACTTTTGAGGTTAGTAATTCTTAATATTTCTGACTTTCTGCATATTTTTGCTTTATTGTTGTTTTTGAACATTCATTGTGGTTCTTTGTTCATCTTTTATGCGTTTAATGAAGAAATTGTATTCAGTTTTGTGATGGACTGGTTTGTTTACAGGGCATGTGGGATTTGACGCCAGATACTGATCTATTAATGGAGTTGCCAGAAGAATACACTTTTGAAACAGCTCTTGCAGATTTGATTGTATGTTGTTGGATGCAATTGAAAGAATTGAAGAAGTTTTGAGTTTTTGGCTTATCTTTTCGATTTATGTAGTCGCTTATTCTCTGCTGCTCATGTACCAGGATAATTCTTTGCAAGCCATATGGACCAACCGTGAAAATGATAGGAGATTAATTAGGTATGACATTTGTATGATGACCATTTTTTTTCTTTGCTGCCTATATATTTACTTTTATGTTTGTTTTATAGATGCTTGATTTTCATGCTATTTACTATTTCTATTTTTTTCCAATTCTTTACAACGTGAACTTCAAATCTGTTATTATCAAACTGACCCAGTGGACATGCAAATTAATTAGTTCATATGTGATTGATGAACTCCGTTATTTTTCAGAGTACTTTTGTTTATTGTTCACTTCATTGTAAATAGAGATGGTAAGGTTTGACCTCGAAATAGATAATATATATAAACTACTTTCTTTAGAAAAAAAATTATCATGTATCATAACATAAAAGTTCTAATGAAAAGAATAACAAGAGAGCAAGAAAAAAGTCATCACTTTGTTTTTTAACTTCTCTTTACTTTTACTTACCCAACCAGACAACTTTTTTTTTTTTTTTTTCCATTGTTTGGTTTTCATTATTATTATTTACAAAAACCAAAATAACTTTGATCAGTTGTGATCATTCTCATCAAGATATTAATTCTGTCAGTTCCACATATCTCTCCCTAGATTAAATTTGCTTTCCCGCTTATTCCAGCAAGAAAGGATGGAACTTGATATCATATTGTTTAAGTCTCAGTGATGTCCTCAGTTTCAACCAATGGGACAAAGCTGATATTGTCATACAATTTTATCATGCTATAGTATTCTATCCTCTTATTGTGTTTACATTATGTTTTTTCTGAACTTTTTTCATTTATATTTTATATCAAACATGTATTTTCAAAAGCTTAGTAAATGATCTCATATCTAAAAATTTGCTTAAAGGCCCTATTGCTCTCCATAAAGAAACAATTTTAAGCTTTTTATTGGTGTTAAATTGCATATATCATGGTTTAGTTTTCCCTAGAGTTCTACTCTTTGTGATGAAGGTCTCCTTGAGTTGAGGTGTAGGAATCAGGAAATTGAGCACCTGTATATCTGCTTATAATTAGTTTCTTTATTTTCGTTTTTCATTGGGTTGATATATATGGTTGTTTTGGTACATAATTCAGTTCACTCAATTGTCATAAGTTGCTATAGCTTGGCTCAAATTTCCTTTAACATTTTAACGCGTGGTATGGATGATCATTTTAATATCTTTGCAGTGTGCATATTGCGGAGGATAGGATATCAATTTTGACACTGGCCCAGGAATGGATAGTAGTGAAGAAAACTCTATTGCTAAGTGGTGTGTTATAGATTTCAATATTTACTTACAAACTTCCCTCTTTTTTCAGTGCTTGTGTGTCTTGTTGGATATTTTAGAGGTTGGAACAGGGCTTAAACTTCATTTTTTTGACAATAAAGGAGGAAAATTTGTGACTTGCCACATTTTCAGCTTTGGCTTATTTATTTTACAATTTTGTTGAATATTGATGTATTTTCCTTGAAGAAGTAGGAATGAAAAAATTTCCAAGAGTTTTATTTTTATATGATAAGAAAGAAAAATTAGTTTGTTTGGAATATGGAAAATAATATACTACAGCGAGTAGAGGAACAACTTCCTGTCTATCTCTCCACTCCACCGAAACCAAATTTTGGGAGAAAGGAGAAGGAAGACTGACAAGAAAATAGTTTGCTCGTACAGGCTATTGGTTTCATATATGAATTTGTAGATATCTAACTAGGTGTAGACTGCATAAGCATTCATTGATTTACTTGCATGTTGTGTTTTATATTTATGTAATTTCCAAATAATAGTTACATTTAATGTTAGATATAATTGTTCTTTCCCCATCGTGCACGTTTTTAACACAGCTCTGATTACATGAGTTTTTTTTTTTCCTAATATCATCTTCTTTTGGCTGCCTCAGTCTTGGATATATGTTATTCATGGTTCATATGTTTAGGGGAAGATGGGTGCTTCACTTAACAGACTTCTAAAGAACATGGTGTAGGAGGCAAACCTCCATACTTGAAGGTAAAGGGTATCTTGTGAAATTTTTTGTATCTTGCCTTTATATATACATATATTTAGTATATTGCTTTTTTTTTATTGTAGATAATATGCGGTCTTTTTTTCACTGTTTGTCCTAGTTTCCCATATTAACTTTGATATTAGTCATATTCTCTATTGGAAGCTGTCACTCTTTTTGTTTACAAGATTTTTTGTTTCTCTTGGTGACATACAGCCTTTTTTTGGCATGTTTGGATATGGAGGACCTATTGCATCTATGCATCTAGGAAGGTATTCTCTCTCTTAAACTTCTTTTTTTTCCTCTCTTCCCTCTCTCTCAATGAATGAGTTTTTTTTTTTTCTTCTCAATGAAGCAATGACTTGAGTGCATTTTTTAGTTTTTTCTAATTTTACTGCTTTCTTATAGGCGTGCTCTAGTTTCTTCAAAGACAAAATATCTAATAAAGTCTTTACATTGCATCTTGAGAGAGAAGCTCTACTCAGTGCTCAGATTCTGAACTTACTTGGCGGTTAATTAAGTCACCTTAAGCAATTTATTGTCTTACTAATGGACATTTGTTTCTTTTGCACATGTTTTTTCACTCTTGACATGTCATGTTTTATTATATTGTTATATAATTATTATTTTTGGTTGTATTAAGGTTGTGTTACTCCTTATTTTAGACTAATGGTGGCATTAGGTTCCTTCAGAAGAGAAAGCACAGAATCACCTCATGGAATTTTTACAAAGGTGATTTCTATTTCATTTTGTCTAGCACTTTGTATTTATTCCTTGGGCAAGTGTTGCTTACTTTTCTGAGCTCTTCATTTAAAGTTAGATCATGGTCCTGTATTGAATAAGTGATGCAGATCTTTGTATTGTTGAATCTTTATTTTTGCGACACTAAGTGAATTAGTTTGATACTTGTTATGTTTCCCTCCAGTTTTTTCTCGTCCAATTGTTTGGACTGTTCTCATTTTCCTTGATACAGTTTGCGTTTCAATTTGATTGATCGACAAAATGATCAAGTCCCTAAGGATAGCATAATCTTTCCGATGAGTATTGTTAATATCAGTCAAGCAAATATTTGTTCAATTAATATCTTGATTATCCTTCATGCATGAAAATACTTTTGAGCTATGTTTTTTTTTGATAGGAAAAACTAGTATATTGATGTGTAAACAAGATTTATGAGTTTTTATGTAAAACTCTAACTCTTTCTTAGCTATGTTTTTCAATTTTTTGTCAAAAATTAAATATTATTGTCTTATATACCTTATTACCTAAACTATTGTGGACCAATCTGCATTTTATGAGTTCAAATACTGTATAGTTGCAAAACATCTGTAGCACAAATATCCCTATTTTTTCTTTAATATTTTTCCTTTATAATCTGTTGTGTTGTCAGGTTTGTTTCGTTATTTGGAATACTTACTAGGACTTCGATCGGTGAAGGTTTAATGTGCTTATCATTTTGATTTATGAATTCCTTTTCTCCATTGGAGATGGATGTCAGTGAAATATTCTGAGGCTTAGGACATCAATGGACCTTGATTTGATGTTCAAATAAATATTGGATATGCAATGGAGCTTAATTTCCAAACCTTCTAGCTTTAAATTCTATGTCCATGCAAACTTATATATTAAGATTGGTCTTATTTGGAGATAGCCTACATATTACAAAACTATAGTTGACTGCAAGATATGAAAGTTGTGCTGGGTGGATAATTGAGATTATGAAATTAGTGGGAAGTGAAACCTAAATTTTGAGTTTTAAGGAGATGAAGGAATTTCTTAACATATTAACAAAACTAAGTGACGGCAAGATATGGAAGTTGTGCTGGGTGGATAATTGAGATTATGAAATTAGTGGGAAGTGAAACCTAAATTTTGAGTTTAAGGAGATGATAGGGAATTTCTTAAGCTATATATAAGCACTAGAATGTGTTCAAAGTTTTCTTTCGCGAGGTTCTATAAGAATGTTACATAAGAGCATATAAAGCCTTTATAACTAGTTCTGTCAGTACTCTTGCAGATTTTCCTGTTTTACATCTCCTTGATTTTGCTGAATTGTTGGATAAATATTGTTCTTTTGAGTCAAGTGATTTGCTGGTGTTTAGTTATTTACTTTGAATTATGGATGTTGATAAGGCCATCTAATTTTTGTCTACATTTGGCTATTTTTAGTTAAACAAACAAATAATGAGTCAGTAATAGACATCATTGATTATAATGGTGAAACTTCTGACACAGAAATGACAGTCGATACAACGTTTGTCGTATTTCTTATGTCAACACTGTTAAGTTTCTATTTATTGATTCAAGTTGGTTTTTAATGGTTAGTCTTAGGTTTGAATAATTGACTTATTCGCTTTACCTTGATTAATTCATTGAAATATCTTGAAATTGGTATGGAATCTTTGAATTATTTTCTGTAGAATTGTCTTTATGGTCCTTTAGATGGGTACAACTTGTTCATTCTTTTGTAATTATTAAATTCAATAATATTGACATGTTTGTTCTATTCAATTTATTTTCCATATTGACCATCAGTGTGCTTAATTAGCTTGGCAATGTTGCTATTTGATTGTTTTTTTGTCATTAAATTTTCTTTTTCTTCTTTTGTGGGGATCAATACTGTACTTAGCTTGTATTTCTTACTTTTTGGAGAATATCTTCAGGTGGAAATATTTGAGCCTAAGCTAAAAAGCTTGAACAAATTTCAACTGCTGTACAAGCTAAAGGACATCTACTTCCCTTATATTCAGGTGTCTTTGCATTAAAAAAAAAAAGCTTCATTCTTATCCAGTTAATTTGTGGTTTCATATATGAATATAAGTGTAATTAGATAATATATTTACCACATTTCTAGATTTTATGTATAGTCTTATAATTATTTGTATTTATCTCCTTATTGGTGTATAATGTGAAAAAAGCATAAAAAGCATCGTTAATGTCGCTCGTCTCTGTCCAGGAGCAGTACAATTGTGGAATAAAGTATGTTGAACTGCCAATTTGTCTTGGTAGCCTAGGCCCATTCTATTTCTCTGCTTACCGAAAATTTTTGTGCTTTTGGAGGTGGTAGAAAAGCTTCATCATCATTCAAGTGTGGGATTTTGGCTATTGTTTGAGTTATTTATCAGAAAGGAACAGGAGGATTTTTGAAAATGTTAGAGAAGAGGACATTGACATTTTATTGGATACAGTAGTGATTTTTAGTTGTTAAATTGGTAAGTTAATTTGAGTGTCAATGTTTGGGAACACTGTGTGTATTGAAAGTGAAAACACTCATGGATCATTTCCATATGCCTACCAGCCAAGGTTTTTGTTGCTTATAGACTTCGGTAGAAAATATACGGCAATACATTTGCATACATAAGGCATTGCCTTTAATGATAAGAATGTTTCTATTTTTTCTGTTTTTTCCTATTGTTATTTCTCATATTTTACCTATCCAGCTCTTTTCTTTTTTCTTTTTTGTGTAAAAAAACTACTTTTCTTTTTTCATTCATTATCATGACAATTTGGTTGACCATACAAAATTAATTTGACTGTAGACATTATCAATATGCAAATCGTTCTAGATATTAATAATGATTATGTCTCATAAATTATCTTTTTGATGTGCAGTGCGACGAAGTATCAAAGACGGGGAAGACCACCACACCAATTGAGTTCCAGGTTTAACTTGTTATTGTTATTTTACGTGCTGACTCTTCTTAATACGTCAAAGTGATTGGATAAGATACACAAAGTACTTGGTTTTTTAAAGCATTTTACAAGTCATGAGAAGGAATTACAGAAGTCATAGAGATTGGAATGCAGCTTTGTCTCCCATTTATGTTATTAATGAATTCTTTTTTTATGTTCTTAAAATAAAAAGAAATACAAAAAAGGAAAATAACAAAAAAGAATTTCGTCTTTGCAGGTTAATGGTTTGACTTGCTGAAATTGCAGGTGGGAGGTTGCAAACAACATGCATTCATGCAATGGTCCTGATTTTGTTTTACAGCTTCACTTTTTCCCTTAACTTGGTTGTTTCTACAGCCAAAAGTCCTGGTACCAATTGCAGTTCTTTTTTCATGATTTTCAATGGCATATCAATTGTCAACAATATGCATCTTTGGTATTTTAACATCTTAAGAATTGGTATTTGTCAGGTTCATGGACATCTCAGAAGCAAAGCACGCTTAAATGTGTTTATTTTCCAGTTACGGAGGTATGTGCCATACAAAGCACAACTTTTTTCTGCATGCTAGATAATTTCTTGAAATTGTTTAATACAGGGGAGAGAGCATTGAAAGAATTATAGAGAGTTAAATTCTAAAGGATGTGGAGTTCCTGAAAACTATGAAACTTTCAGTCGTGTGCTATTCGTCGTCTTGGTCGTCTTCTTCCAGATGCTCTGCTGGGTAAGTTCTAAATCCTATGAATTCAAAGAACGTTGACTGAGCTATAGCGAAAATACAATGTTTTTTAATCACATAATGACTCACCTCAAATTTCTACCCTATGTTGACATACATCCACAATGTGGCAATTTTTAGGAGAAGCTAGAGTTTCCTTGGTTTTTGTTGTGTTCTTGTTATAAAAAGTTTAATCTGCGAAGTAGAGCCATTTAGGATTTAAAGTGCACTTGCACTTCAGGTGATCACACATAACCCTAACCAATCATAATGACAGACCTGAAATTTATATGTTAGGAGATTCAAACACAAATACTTGGTCAACTTGGTCTGATTCTTGCTTATTTACAACTTTAAGCAAAAAATTAAACTTATATGTAAGAGCTATACTATAGTACTAAAGCTCTACTACTGCCCACCCCACATGCACTTATGTGTGGACCAACATAAGTACCAATACAATCATATCATAACACGACTAACCAATTAATTATATAGTATGATCCAAGACAAGCATTTTAACTTCACTCTAATGCCATTGTAGTTATAGTGTGACCTTAAAGCTATGGTAAGGTACTTAATGCTAAGTTAAAACGTGACCTAAAGCTTATGTAAGGTCCATAATATTTTTCAAGCTCTACATCTAACCATATATACATAATAATATTTAGTTGTAATTTAAGTAGTGAAATTTTGCAAGCTTTTACTAATGCTTTTCATTTCTTTATATATCTAGTTATGCTTGGAAAAAATGTTGTATGTATCATCTGCCACTTATATAAATTCCCAGGTAATTTTTCACGTTTTCTGATTTACACCCAGCATGGCTTCCTTTTATTGATTTGAGGCAGAAAAAGGGAGATAAGGCTCACCTACTGAAGTGTTTGCTCAAGAGCAAATGCTTCATTGTAGTGTAATTGAATATTTTTTAGTCACTACTATCCATGTACTTTCCACTCACTGGGATGTATTTGTTTTCTCCTCTCATTTAAGACTATGTTACAAACCTGTTTGGTTGCATATACTGATCTGGTTTTTAATCCGACACTTCTAAGGTAAGGAATGTATTGAATTTCCATTGTTTGTACAATTCATGCTGCAACCTGTTCTTTTTCACAGTTTTGTTTGACTGTGAGTGCTAAGGCCTCATTACCAAGTTACTTTATATATTGGAGTAGATTAGCGTATCTTTAAAAGCTAATGTATAATTTTTCTTTCTAATATTAATTTGGAAAACAAGCATTTCTTACTAATTGTTTCTCTCTCAGCATATGCTACAATGTAATTCAATCTCTCTGACCAAGATTTTCAGAGATGGTATAAACATTGCAACTAAACTAAAATAATTCTAAATTCAGTTTGTGGATGGGTGAAGTAATTGTTAATCTTTTTGTGTTTTGTTTTTTTTTTTTGTCAATGTGACGATGATTTAACAGACTGATTTAGCACACAGAATCTGTTTACCATAGCTTTGAAGAATTTTGGTGTTAATCTTGTAAGGAGACAAAGGTAAATCTTTTGCAAATTGTAAATATGGGCTAGTTTTATCATTTTAATTTGAATTGTTACCTATCTTCCCAATTGTATAATTTCCAATTTGCAGATATCAATGTTGAAATTCATAGAGCTGAAACTATTAACTCCTTTGGACTGAAAAGGAAAAGAATATCAAGACTGGCTTTTGCAGAGTGCTTATCATATGATAAAGAAAATAACTTTGGAGCAGATCAAGCAATTTTTATCCTTAGCCCCAAAAACAAAAATCATTGGCATTTCATCTGATGGTAGGCTTTTGATTGATAAGGATTACTTGCATAACATATTTTCCATTTTGCAGTTTGCTTTCATATACTTCGTTCATTTCTTTGGGTCTCTTTTTTATTCTTTTGTTGCTGATTTGTTTGTTTACCTACTGTTTTTTCTATCTGATGACATATCATATATATTATTCAACCTATTGCAAGGGTGCACCAAGTACTAAAGGAAAGGGTTTAACGTGGAAAAGAGTCAAAGAGTTAAGGTTTTCAGGGAGCATGTGCTGGAGTTCATAACAACAATATCTATGCAACAAT